CAGTCCCAAGTGAAGTCCGCTCCCCCCCAAAGAGTGCATTCAGTCCCAAGTAAGGTAGATTTCCCCCACAGCTGGAGTGCCGAGGTTAAGTCACCCCTCATCTAAAAAAGGTGACTGACCATACCTAGCAGGATCCAACCAGATCCTTGAGGCCCGGTGCAGACCACCGGGATCGCGCGCTCCTGCACAACGCAGGCAGCAATTGCCGCGCGGCCCCAATTATTTCAATGGGGTGACATCCGCACGGCAATTCGAAGAAAAAAAAAAAGGTACATGTTGCTTTTTTTGCGATACAAGACGCGCAATCCACACTGCGCGAATGCGGTGCCATTAGAAAATAATGGCACCCACAGCGCGATCGGTGCACACCTAGGCGACTCCTGACCGCGCAGCAATCCGCACGGAATCGTACAGATTGCCACGCTGTGAGGTTTCGCCTAGGTGTGCACTGGCCCTGAACCAGCTTCTCATCCGCCAACCCAAACACTTGAGCACCATGCAAGAATGAGAGGATCATCATACAGCAGCCCAGAGGACACCATTGTGCACAATGCTATTACAATATGGAGGACTGTACATACAGGCCACTCCAAATGTTAGCAGGGGCAACAGGATTCACAATATAAAGTGATGCATTCCCTATCAGGAGACTTCCAGGACAGTCAGCGGATTGCCAGCGCTTGCAGAGATTTAATGACAACATATTGATAAGAGAACACCAGGAAACCACCAAGTCAAGTCCACGTACAACAGCCAAAGCTTCACCCCCTCCCCCTACAGCATCAAGTTCAAGTCTAACCAGTCTGTTAAAGGCGCAGGTAACTGCGCGACCAACTGTCCCAAGCTCATTTTCTTTTCATGCCCCCGCTGCACAAAGAAACATCCGTTGGCGCCCCATCAGACACTTCCACACATGTAATCCATTGTTCTTTAAAAACACCGCCGAGATGCTTCAGTGACATAATTGCCCATTACAAGGTAAGACGGGCCTGTCCAATCACGCCACATAGACAAGAAGGTGCAGCGACATCAAGGAAAAGGTTTTGTAAACAGAAGTTAAGCTGACTTCCTCCGGCAAAGGAATTTCGGATTTGTAAAATGTTTATGCCGAATGTACCCGGGAAAGACTAGATATCAAACTCAGGAGTCCAATCTTAAAAACCCCATAGTTCTAAGGGTAACGGGAGGACACAAACTAGCGTCCTCCCGTCACCCTAGGCTCAGTATACCGCGAGCTACAGCTGCGTGAGTGACAGCTGGCTCTGCCTTTCTAGAGGCAGAGCCAGCTGGACCCTCCCCCGTCAGTTCCGCCAGTCAGCGCTGGAGGATCGGACAGGGGAGGGGGAATCCAGTCCCACCCCGGTCACTGCTCTCTGCCGTGACAGGACCGAGAAGTGAGCGAACGCCGGTATGTGTTCGCTCACCTCCCGATCTACTGAGCTGACCTGTGACAGTCTCATTGTCACAGGTCGGCTCGAACTATGAGGTTGAATGAAAAGCACTCACCTCATAGTTCTCCTTTAAGAGTGCATTCAAGTCCCTCCAACTATTACCAATAATGGGGGGAATTTATCAAAATCTGGAGCAGACAAAAATCTGGAGTAGTTGCCGATGACAACCAGTTTCTTTCAGTTTGTTAGGATTTGAAAGTGAAAGAGAGAATCTGATTGGCTGCTATGCACAGCTGCTCCAGATTGATAAATTTCCCTCAATGAATCTAAAAGGTGCCCATAAGCTGTACGATCGTACGAGAATCGCGGGAAATCCCGCGATCGTATGATAATCGCAGTGTATGGAAGGAGTGCGACCATTTCTACTGTACGGTCGCAGTCTTCCGTCGAACAAGCAGGCTTGAAAACCCGCCGAGAATCGTACCATTCTCGGCGGGTTAATGGCCTACTTGTTCGACAACTGCTGAATAGGCCGGTGTGCGCACACTGCCCGTTTGCAGTCATCGGAAGCCCGTCCCTCATTTCGATGATCCCAAGTACGATCTGCCTGTCAAAAGGTGGGCAGATCGTACAAGCTTTTAATAAGCTTACGACCATCGCAAGACAAAAGTCTTGCTATGGTCGTAAGGTGTATGAACACCTTTGTTTGTGTATCACTCGGCTGTAGATCCTCAAATCATCTCTGAATTGGTGCTGACACTGTCCTTCCTTCTGGAGGGGGGGTACTTTTTTTCCCCATGGTCCCTGTGTGTGTTGTAAAGTAGTCACCACTACAAGCTCACTCCTGTGATGGACTACAATCTCAATACAAATTAGTAAACTAAACATGATTGTAGTCCATCACAGGAGGGAGCTTGGAGCGGTGACTACTTTACAACACACACAGGAACCATGGGGAACA